TTTGTTTTTTGTGTTTTGAGAGGATCGCACTATGTAGTTGAGACTGACGGGGAACTCATTATGTAGCCCAGGCTGGTCTTGAACTCACAGCGATCCTCCTGCCTCAGCCTCCCAAGTGCTGGGATTATAGGCATGTACCACCACACCCAGCTGACCTTTCCTCTTTTCTGTCCTGCCTAGCCCCTGTGTTTTCATAGTCCTCTAAGGAAATATTTAAGCCAAACTGGGGCATTGAGAACTAACAAAAGTATAGGGCCAGGTATTGAGCTCAGTGGTTCCGCCTCCTGCCTCACAAGCACAAGGATCTGTACAAAGCTATAGGTTCAATCTGCAGTCTCCCAAAAGAGAAAGAAAGGGGCTGGGGATTTAGCTCAGTGGTACTGCACCTGCCTCACAAGGACAAGGTCCTGAGTTCAATCCCTGGTACCGGAAAAAAAAAAGTCCAAAAGAGAAAGACAGGGAGGAAGAAAGAGAGAGAGAAAATAGGGCTGGGGATTAGTGGCACTGTACCTGCCTTGCAAGCTCAAGGTCTTGAGTTCAATCCCCAGTACAGGAGTAGGAAGAGGAGGCATATAGAAGAAAGAAGGGGAAGAAAAAAAGAGGGAGAAAAAAGGAAGGAAAGGAAGGGAGGGAGGGGGGAAGGAAGGAAAGGAAAGAAAGAAAGAAAAGAGAGAGAAAGATAGCAAAGAAAAAGAAAGAGAAGGAAAGAAAGAAAGGCAGGCAAAGATTGGTAGTTGCTTCTCAGGAAAATGAATTAAAGACTCTGAGGAGCTGGACATGGCACATGTCTATAATTTCCTGGCATCCCGGGAAGCTGAGGCAAGAGGATCACAAATTCAAGCCCAGCATGGGCAACTCAGCAGGTTAATGAGACCTTGACTCAAAATAGGAAAATAAAAACAAGAGCTGGGAATGTAGCTCAGTGTGAAGGTCCTGGGTTCAATACTCAGTACCACAATATATAAAAAAAAAAAGAAATGGAAAGCTGAGCACAGTTGTACGTGCCTGTATTCCTAGCTACTCAGGAGGCAGAGGCAAGAGAATTTCTGTTTTCTTTTTCTTTTTCTCTTTTGAGGCAGGGTCTCACTTTGTAATGCTATGTAGCCACAGGCTGGCCTCAAACTCTTGGCAGTCCTCCTGTCTCAGCCTCTCAAGTGCTGGATTACAGGTATTTGTCATCACACCTGGTTCAAGGTAGGAGAATTTCAAGCTTGAGGCCAGCATGGCCTCAACTGAGACCCTATCTCAAAATTTTAAAGAAGCCTTGGAATGTAGCTCATTGAGAAGACCCTGGATTCAATCCCTAGAACCACCACCAAAACCAGACAAAACAAAAGAAAACCAAAGCAACAAAACACAAGGAATTTGTTTCTCGGATGACAGGAATATTCTTTATCTTGACAGAAGCATGGGTTTCATGAGTAGATATGTTTTTGAAACAATTTTAAGTCTGTTTCACTATGCATAAATTATACCTCAAAAATCCTTTTTTAAAAATGCTGGAGTCATTTAGAAGGAAATCTAACATTTACTGAGCACTTGCCAGCCTGTAACTTACCTATATAACAAAAAGCGATTACACCAGTTTACAGATCAGAAAACTGAAGAGTTTACTAGAAAGAGATACTCACTAGAGGCCCCCCTAAGTGAAGCCCAAACAAACCCCAGGTTGTCTGCCTCTTTTCCTGATAATAGACTGTCTCAAAAAAGAGGGTATTTATTTAAACCTGGAGCCAGGAAGCCTGTGTTCCATTTGATTTCACTGCCACATAACCTTAAGAGTCCATTTGTG